CTCTTCTCCAGGCTGAACAAGCCCAGCTCCCTCAGCCTTTCCTCCTAGGGGAGATGCTCCAGTCCCCTCATCATCCTGGTTGCTCTCCTCTGGACTCTCTCCAGGAGTTCCTCATCTTTCTTGAACCGGGGAGCCCAGAACCAGGCACAGTGCTCCAGGTGGGGTCTCACTACTGAGCACGTCAAGGAGCAAAGCCGGAGCACTGCCTCCAGCTTGGCACCATCTCCTCTTCCCCGAGCCTCGAGCAAACCCCTCTGAGTCAGTCACCTTCCGATGTACGTGAGTCAGAAGCCGGGGAGGCACTAACGCAACAATAATCACTCACGGCACTGGCTCTCCGTCGCCGGGAAGACAGGGGCGAAGTGGCGTAAGATGTGTTAGGCCAGTTGGCTAACAAAGTTTTGAACAGGAAAGTTTTGGAAGTTATAACAGAGCTCGAATAAAAAGGGAGAACAAAGTAAAAGCAGCCGCATTACCAGTAGCCATGGGAGAAGTGCGTGTCTCAGCAGGACGGGAGGCGAAGTCGGAGCGTTTAACATGAGAAGCAGCAACTCCCTTACCTTGTCCGACCATCGGTCTACCAGCTGCGGTTGCAGTGTGCCCCAATATTTGTAACTTTTTAGGTACCAATGCCAGAATAATCTATCCTGACCATGTGGTCTGACCTGCAGTGCCAGGCGAGCCACAGGATTTAAAGTTTCCTTGGCCAAGTGTAGCCTTTAGAAGGAAGGTTCCTTGAGGAACCAGGAAAGTAGCCTATTGCAAAAGCATGCAAAAAAGCTGATTCATGTGATAATGAAAAATTAAAGCGGTAAGCTAATTTTTGAGCATTTTAATAGTGCGAATGAACAAAGCCAGGGTTGAAATGAAAATATTCCTAGCTCATACTGCCAGTAGCTATAGGCACACGTAAGCCTGACAGCGTTGTTTTAGAGGCATAACTGGAATACACAGAGCTAGCACCAAGCAAAAATCAGAATATAGAGAAAAATACACTATTTTAAAAAATGCACCTATAGGAAGCTACGTGTGCTATAGAGATTTTGCAGTGCCCTCTCTGTATGGGATCATATGCAATCAGAACAACGATGAATTAAAAACGGTGTTTCCTGAAGCTAATGAGGAAAAGAAACCCAGGAGAAGCAGCATGGAACACTATGAAAGGAGCAGACAGTGGCTCAGAGGTTGAGATTTTGGCGCATAGTTAATTAAAACAGAGGGGGAAAAAGAAAATAAAGTGGGAAGGTTGGAGCAGTGCTGGATCCAGAGACACGAGAGCAAGGCGGAGTTGGTGGTACGCTGGGCAGCACAGGATATCTCAGTGCTGTACAAGAAAAGAAAGTGAGATTTACACTGGATAAAACCAACTTAAAATTATGCAACGGCCAGCCCACTTCCTACCCGCTCCCCCTGCCCCAAAGCCTACTTTAAAAATAAAACACGAGGGGGAACTTCAACTCAGAAACCTGCTTTTAATTTAAACAAGTGAACAGGCGCACCCGGAGGTATAAAACCGGGGGAAATGATTCAGGGAGCAGGCACGTAAGGAGAAGGGTGTTATGTCTAGAATAGATAAAGAACTTGCCCTAAAACTGGGAAAAATGCAGTCGCTTTAGTTACAGCCCGGCCGCCCCAGCCCCGCCGTGAGTAAAGCAGGCATTGAAGAGGCATCGGCCAGCTTCATCTCTGGTGGGTCCATCCTCTGCCGGGCAAACGCCAGCCAAGGGGAGAAGGGTGGAGGTGCCTGGGGAGAAGGAAGGGTGGAGGTGCCTGGGGAGAAGGGTGGAGGTGTCCTCCTGGCTGTGGGGGCGCAGAGGGCGGCAGGAAGCCTGGAGGCTTTAGGGAAGGAAGCCTGGGGATGAGTGACCGGGGGATCTGTGCGAGAGCGAGAAGATGTTGGGGAGGAAGGGCTGGCCGAGACCTGGAAGTTGTTTCTGGTGAAGAAAGGGGGCGGCAAAAGGGGAAGGAGGTGCCGGCCATGTGGCCGCAGCTGGAAGAGCTGGGGTGGCACCGTGAGTACCTGCCGGGGGAGCGGGGCCGATGGAGCAAGCTGGGGCTGCCTGGGGGGTGGGAGAGCTGAGCTGAGCTCGGGGGATTAAATGCAACCCAGGAAGGGCTCCCTGGCGCTGAGTCACGTGTGGTTTGGGAAGGGCTAAACCGTTCTCGGGGCTTCGAGCGGCAAGGGTGCAAATCGGTGGTGGCTCTGGGGACCTGGGCTCTGGGGGGGAGCCTCGGCGCAGCCGGCGCGATGCAGCACACGGGGTGCTGGGGTGGCGGCTGCTGATGCCTGCCTGCAAGGGGCAGGGAGGAAATACAGAGCTGAAGAGGCATCAGAAACAGTCGCGGCAGGCCGTAAGGACATCCTCCTCCTCTTGAGGATGGAAACACCGCTGCGGGGACCGTCAGCGGGGTGGTTTCTTTGGCTGAGGAGATGGTGGCAAGATCCTATGAAACACGTGAAATGCTGAGGCGCCAAACGATGAAAAGCACAACCCTGTTCCCCAGAGCGGTGCGGTGGGGCGGTACCATGCGCCCGGGGGGGGTGGTGGGGCATGGACCCCTACCCCGGCAGGGCAGGATGCCCGTGCAAGGGGGGAGATGCCCGTGCAAGAGGGGAGATGCCCAAAGCCCTCCGTTATCAGGAAGCTAAAGGTCTTTCAGGCTGATGCTAAGGGCATGTATTTCCTTGGGGAAAACCCTGCATCCCAAAGTAAGCTGCAAGGAGGTGTCTCAGGATTTTTCGACAAGAGGCGTTGTGTGTCCCCCCCTGACGGCACCAGGGAAAGCCCCCGACGAGCAGCCCGTGGCTCAGCGAGCGGGTTACATCTGGCGGGGGTTGAGTCACAGGAAGACAGAGTTTTGACATTGCTAGGGAAAAAAAAATAAATATAAAAATAACTGGTGCCTACCGATGGCTGTCGCAGGAAAGCCTTGCTCCTTTCAGTGGCTTGGTGCTGCACAAATACACTTTGTACGAGACAAAAGTCGCTTCTCCGGAGTTTGAATGGCTGTTCTGAGCTATTGACAAGCTTGGAGTTAGCAAAATAGGTTCTTCTTTCTTTTCTATAAGCACAAGAAACATAAATGGACTACGATAGAGTCAATGGAATACAGTAAGTTCTTACACAAGTAAATTTGTTTAATTTTTGTTCCCAGAGAAGGGTGGCAAGGGGATGCTGCAGCGAATGCCTCGCGGTGACAGAGCCTGAGCAGGGCGAGGCAATTAGACCCTGTTTCTGAAAGGGGAGGGCGAGCGAGGCTGTGTGAACCGAGACCAAATCTGAAAGGTGCTGCTTCATCCCCCTGTTTGTGCTCAAATATCAACGCAGGGAACAACAGTGGAAGCTGCAGCTGGAGAGGGCACTAGGGGTCACCACCGTCTTATCTACGCCACCTGGATTTAATTCTGAAGCAGGATAAATAACATGACAGAAAGCAAAGCTGGGCTATTCTGATTTTATTTTTTTTCTTTTTTTTTGGTGGGCCAGACAGCTTGCATTTCATTTCTTCCTTTTCTCCTCCTCCTGCCTGCCTGCTGTCTGTCTCTCCCTTAAAGCAAACCCCAGGGAAGCCTGTGGGATGCAACCAGGGCGGATGCTCTGGAAGAAAGTGGGGGGGGGGGGGTGGATCAAACATGCTGCTTTATTTAGAATGAAGGTTAGGCACATCGCAAATGCTACGTCTGGCGGGCCGAAGCACGTAGCAGCCTTGGCATGTTTCTGCAAGTACCACGGAGCAAACCGATTGCGGGAATGAATCGCACCCTTGTAGTCCAGAGCGTAACTCCTGATACGGTTTGTTCTGCCTGGCCAATGATCCCATGCCTGAGGATCTTTCTCCCCCTTTTTTTTTTTCCCCCCAAACTGACTCAGTATCCCTGACGTCTCATGAAACTGCATCTGGTATCTGCATTAAAAGGAGGATTGGGTGTCTGGATTGCAAAGAGCATTGCAAATCCTCCTCTCCAGGACTTTTTTTTATCTCGTGTCTAGGAAGTAACCACTGGTGGGGGCTGAGTCTATTGGAGTGTTGGAACACTGCATTTTCAGGTGTCTAGGGAGAAAAAGTGTGTTTTTACTGAGGCAGATGATTTGTCTAGAGACAGGCAGACAGGCTTTCAGGCGTACAAGACCCGATGAAGAGGCTGTACCCCCTGACAGCCTGCCTTTTTTAGCTATAGTACTCGATCTTGCAAGATGCCAATTCCCTTTTCTCCGCAGATAAATTACAGTATCGTCAATCGTGGTGTTTCTTGTTGCATGATATGGTGGAAGTTGAACGTTCAGGTAGACTTGAAACCTGACTGGACAATTTATTGAAAGAAATAGCTGCCAGGTGCTGTAAAATCGCAAAGATAGCGCTTCTGGCTTGGAAAGTTCCTTGCTTGCAAATCCCTGGGGACAGGGAGAGTCCCAGAGGAGTTTCCCCATACCCCGTTTGTGCGTTCCTCCCAAAGCGCCGGTTATAACTCACCTAGGGTGGCACCCTGGGATCAGATGGCATTTTAGCCTGGCATGGCACACACGGGAACGCAAGAACGGATATATGTTCTTTGATCGTCCCCGTGGTGATAAAGCTGCTTGGAGCGTGTTACTGTATGGGCTGTTCCTGGGGAAGCGTGCGGGCAAATCCAGACTCGTAGCCCAAGCGAGAGCGTAAGGACGTGCAGGACACTACAACAACCTGATGGGAGGGGGTAGCGAGGTGGGTGTTGGTGTTTGCTCCCAGGAACGGGCGATGGGATGAGAGGAAACGGCCTCAAGTTGTGCCAGGGCAGGGTTAGGTTGGATATTGGGAAAAATTCCTTCCCCTTGGGGCTGTCAGGGGCTGGAAGGGGCTGCCCAGGGAAGGGGTCGAGTCCCCACCCCTGGGGGGATTTGGGGGGAGCTTAAAGGGCTTTTCTAACTTAACCCATCCCATGATTCAGTGATTCTATGACACCTCTGTCGGGCTGCTTGCTTCTGCCAGCTCCAGCCCTGGCCATCGGCTGCGTTGGCTCGGAGCTCGTTCGGTGTCAGCTCAGGCATCGGCGTGCTGCAGTCGCGCTACACCCAAAGGTGGGGGAGCTCTCCGGCTCCCTATTTTTGGGATTTTATGTAACATCCAGCTTATATAAGCCTTTGTCTGTTCCCCAAATGGGTGGAGCATGTCTCGCTTAGATCCCTCGCTAAAGAAACGCTCGTTACTTAACTCTTACTCAAGTGCTCGTTACATACTTGAAGAATATTTTAGTTAGTTCCTTTTCTGTTGCCAATAATAACGTACCGGCTTGACAACCTGCTATGGGCAAATGCCAAAACGTGTAATTCACCATTTAATGAACTACAGCTTAGAACACACTAGAAACGGTGCTGTTGAGGGAGAGGAGGGCAAACCGAGGCAGATCCCAAACCCTGGCCCCAGGTCGCATCTTGCTTTCTTGTTGCCCGCTCCGGGCAGGAGCCAGTTTGGGGATGCTGGTAGGGGAGGAAGGGTGGTTTGGCCTCGCTAGGATGGCTTGGCCTGCAGGAGATGCCTGGCTACCCGGTGTTGCTAGCAAAGCCCCCACCTTCAGTGCAGCCAGGGTTGCCCCCAGTCCCAGTTGCTGGTGGCTGCTCCACGGTGCCAGCGGAGGGGAAGGAGGGTGACAGCAACACTGAGCACCCCCGGGCCGGTGTCCCCATTCCAAGGTTGCTTTGGACCCCAGGGAGGTGACACTGGTCTCTGTGGTTAACTAGATGCTTTTCCAGATCCAGGCTTTGGTTTTCCAGCAGGTAAAGGTGGGCCGTATCCTGCTGTGCGGGAAGGGCAAGGCATCAGAAACTGCCGGGTGCCCAGACCCGGTGCCGAGGAGGACCCCGCAAATTGTTTTCCGATGGACTTGTTGAGCTCACTCGAACCTGGCATTCACGTAACTGGAGGGCTTTAAATAGACAGTATGTGTCTTAGCTTAACACCATAAGGAGACGGTTTGCACTCTCTCCTTCCTCCAGATACTGTGCTTCATATACTGACGTGCTTGGCATTCCTTTAAGTTTTGTGAATCGATGCAAAAAAAAACCCCTCCTTTTTTTTCTTTTTTTTTTTTTCTTCTTCCCCTTAAAGCTGTGCTTTGCCCTGCAGCCCTGCCCCTGCTCGGCTGCACGGGGCAGCTGCCACACGGTGGCATCCAGGTACCTGCGGAACGGTGTGCCAGGAGGAAAGGGGGGGGTTTCCTGCCCAAAAGCAAGCTTGCAATACAAGAAATAATGCATTATTTTAGCTCTGAGGCCCATGCCTGTCCCCTGAGGCTCTTAAGGGCTGGCACAGAGCAGAGATGCGCTGCCCCAGGGAAGGTTAAGCTAGAAGTGGTATCTCTTGGTTTTATTCCATACATTTATTGATTTTTATTATTTTTTCATTTACCAATCTCATTCACCCCCCGCCTTGAGAGGAAGAAAAAAAAAAAGCCCCAACCAAACCCAAACAGTGAGAGCTTTGTTTTTGTTTCCATGGGAATTCTGTGAGAGGGGGGAGGGTGTGAAAAAAAACCTGAAATATTCTGGCCAAATCTGATAAGGTTTGGATCCTGAGCAGGCCCTGGGCTGTCTCGTAGAATCTAAAGCCCGGGGGTCCTGTTGGCCCCCGTCCGTGCCGGTGGGGAGGGCTGGGATGGGGCTGCTGCTGTGTCACGGGGAGCATTCCTAAAAAAGTTGCACCAGAAAAAGCGATTTGGGTGGGCAAAGATATGACTACAGCTCCCAGGAGACACCGTGGCCGAGTCAGGCCGTCATGTTTAAGAGCCTTCTGCCAAAACTTCCTCCCCTGCCTCTTCCTCCAAAGTCAGGAGGACAACTGCAGTCCTTGAGGGAGGCAGGAAAAAAGAAAAAAAAAAATACTTGGCAAGGAGATTTCTGCAAACATCCCCTCCCCGCCTTTTCCTTTTGGAATACTGGTGTTATGGGGCAAAACAATAACAAGTCGTGGGTTTTTGTACATGTCTGTGGCTTAACGCCAGCTGGCCCATGGTAGGTGGTCTCTGGGCTGCTCCGTCCTCGGCGGCAGCACCGGTGGCCACCCCAGCGTGGACCCGGCGGGGTTGTCCCCCTCATCTGTGGGGCTCCATCCACGCTGCGGGTGTTGTGGTGGTCTCGCTAGCTGGAGCTGAGCACCGTTCCGCCCCATCCCTCTGCACACCTCGTGGGAGCGCATTCGGGCCTTTTATCATTGCACTGCTCGGAAACGGCTACAGCAAAACACATTTCCAGTCCCCGGCGAGGTGTTGCTCAGGTACACAGGGCACACCAGCCCTGTTGTCCTGGAGGGCCACAGAGTCGCTGTGTGCATGGGAAGCAAATGACCATCTCAAACCCTGGCAGAGGAGCGGTAGAGCCACCGCCACTTGCAGACCTCTTGCTCTACGGGCAGTACGGCTTCGGCAGAGGTTGGGGACAGGGTGCTGGAGCAGGAGGCACGCCAGCATCCCATGCTGGAGCTTGCAAGCCTGGGGGAAAAACTACTCTGGAGTTTGCCCCCTAGTTCCCCTCCAGCCCCCATGGCTTTGCAGAGGCAGCAGCATCACCCACGCTCGGGGCCAGGGAGCGGCTGTGCGGCTAAAGAGGAAACACAGGGAGGAAAGAGGCTGTCTGGAGACCTGGCAGACAGGCAGAAAAGTGCTCAACTCCAGCAGTCGATGGTTGGTCGGTGTGGTTTTGCCACCTTTGATAGTTCACCTAACCAAGAGCGTGTCGGTTGTTGCGATCGGTGTCAGCTGAAGCTGGCAGGTCAGCAGCATGTTTAACCAGGAAAAAGCAACCTGGTGAGAAAAACTCTATAGGTAAACCCCTGTATTTAGATGACATCTGTGTTCAGTACATCAGAGGGATCCCTGCCAAGGCTCTGCTGAAACCACTGAGGGCCTTCCTGTGCTCCAGCTCTTGGGCAAAACTGCTTTTTGCCATGGAGTGAAAGGGGAGAGTGCTTTTCTGGGTGCAAGACGACGGGCTGAGGGCTTGGAGGTGTTGATGGTCTCTTTGCTCTATCTCACGCTCACTCCCGCCTGCTCTGAGGCCGTAGTTTGGCGTTTGCCTCGCTGCCCCACCACTCCTCCCCTCTCCCTGTGGTTGTGATGCCAGCCGGTGACCAAGATTGGGGATGGGGTCCGTAGTTAAAAAAAAATCCTTCCTTCTTTTCCTGTGTTATGTTTCAGCTGGAGGGTTGGGTTTGGTAATCAGCAGCATAGGCTCTCAGTCCTCAAAAAGCCCTTCTGCAGACGCCTCTAGGTGCCTCACGTGTCCCCACTTTTGGCTAGCTCATTAGGCATGGCGATGACAACTTTCAAAGAGAAGAAAAAGCACAAATGAAGTGCAACAAAATAGAATTTAAGAGAAGATTCCTAATGATTCGCACCTTGGTTTTACAGACCGCAGCAGCGTCGAGCCCCCTGCGACTGCCATGCAGCACCTCGTGTTAAATACGGAAACTTGGCCCTCCCTGTGACAGCGGCTACGCGTCCTCCGAGGGATGTGTGGAAGTTCCTGAAGATCAAAAAGCAGGTGGGAACAGAGAGCCAAAGGAACGCCCCGACAGACAACATTGTGTTTCTTCAGCGCTCGAGATATTTTTGAAGGTATGGGCCAAGCATCCACGTTATGAATTGCCTCTGGGAGAGGGATGGTTATGGGAGGTGTGGCAAATCGCTAATGGACACGGGTATAATGGTGTTTCTCCTGCAAAAGACGGCAACTGTGGGTGAAGAACCCGCTCTGCTGTGGTGCTCGGGAGGGAATTGTGCTGCATAAATGCCAAAGTGCTCATGGAGAGTGTCTGCTCTCTTCTGCTGCTGGCCCAGCCCTGCGCACAGCGGCTGCCAAAATAAACCTAGCAGCAGAGAAACTAAATATGCATAACTGAGCTAAGCTTTATGGATTTGTAAAGGTTCGCCAGAATTCAGCCAGCCAGTTGCATAGGTGTCTGAGCGCTGCAACGAGCAGGGTGGGCAGGGGTTCGTCTGCAGAGGGAGATGTTCTGGGGGCTGAGATGCCCCCTCTGCACCGGTGGGCGCAGAGAGGTGTGCGGAGGTGGTGGAGGTCACAGAATCCCAGAATCCCAGAGTGGCAGGGGTTGGAAGGGGCCTCTGGAGCTCACCCAGTCCAACCCCCCTGTTAAACCAGGCTCACCCAGAGCAGGGGGCACAGGACAGTGTCCAGGCAGGGGTTGAATATCTCCAGAGGTCCCCTGCAGCCCGCTGGCCTCCTGCCCTGGGAAGCTGTGGGGTCAGCAGCGGTGGGGCTGGAGAGGACGGCAGAGATGGGGCATCCCGGGCAGGCGGGTGGCCTGGAGGATGCTCCCCGTGCCGTCTGCTCACCGATTCCCATCCTGTATGTTGGCGTTAGCATGAAGCACCTCTGCAGCACAGGGTAGCGTGCCCTTCTCGAGCACGGCTTTGCCCGCTCTTTGGGGTGGAAAGGTGATGCCAGCGCTACAGGGTGACTTTTCTTATTTCCCATTGCCCCTCTTCTTTGCTGCAGAATTCCACCCCGATTTTCCCTGTTGCTTTGTTCTCTCCTGACGCTGAGCGTTACAAATGTCTGTGCTGCCTGTGAGGCACCCTGACTCACGGCTCTCCCTCGATGCTGAGTGTAGCAGCGTTTGAGCTCCACGCCGCGAGCTGGGAGAAGCCGTGGTGCAACGCTCTGGGGAACCCACCTTAGATTTCGGAGCCTGATTTTAAACGTGAAGCGCATCACTCACGCTGGCTTTCGTAAGCCCTTGGTGAGCCAAGTCATAGTAAACCCGGCGTAAACGAGCTGAGGCAACGCGCTGCAGGTGTGCCCATAACCAAAGTTCTGGTGGAGAACGGGGGGAGGCTTTAACATTGCACTGCCCGAACAGGGGGAGGGTCTGTCCCTACATTAGCAGCGACCAAAGTTGGGTTATTTATCTCACGTAGATTTGAGGACCACGGTTCAGCTCCTCACTACGTAAAAAAAAAAAAAAAAAAAAAAACTTTGAGGAAGAAAAATATCTTAAAAAACATATGGAAATCTTGCTGTAGAGTGAGAAGTGGAAATGCTGAATTCCCTGGGAAAAGCCACCAAGATGTCCCCTGTACAGCTGCGGCGGTGGGAGCCGTAGTCCTGCAGATGGGTTTCAGGCATTTTACCAAGGCAAGGCTGTGTTAGAGCTGTTTAATGTATGGAAGGGTTTTGCTTCTCCGCTTGGCAGTTCAATGCTTCTATAAGCACAAAAATCTTCTCTCTCTTGCTAAAAAAAAAATAAAAAAATAAAAAAAAATCTGCTTCTTTGCATATTACAAAGGGCATATGGGAAGTAACATGAGAAACGCAGGCGAGCACGGCTCAGACGCAAACAATACGTGACCATAATTATTAGGTTGTCTTGCTCTAAAAATAACGTTGCATGTGTACTGAATCCATGGCTAATTTGCCCACGACTTTTTCATTTGTTCCCTTCGATGCCATTCCTTGGTGGGGGAAAACTCACTTCTCCCGGCTGAAGTCATCGGGCTTGGGGAAAAAAAAAAAAAAAAAAAAAAAAGAGGACAAAAGGGGGGGAAGTTGTGCTGCGTTTGCGGGGCAAATCACTTTGAGTCCTTTTCCCTGCAGGGCTGTAAGTTGAAATAAAAAGGCAGCTTTTCTCCTGGCTGTTAGGGGATCATTTCTTGGTGGTGGGGTTG